AAAGGGGGTGGTGGTGGAGGAGGCGGCACTCCTATGCCTGGCAAAGGGGGTGGTGGTGGAGGAGGAGGCACTCCTATGCCTGGCCAAGGGGGTGGGGGTAGTGGAGGAGGAGGAGGCACTCCCATACCTGGTAAAGGGGGTGGGGGTGGAGGGGGTGGCACTATTTCTGGGATAGAAGAGGGTGCCACCATGCCTGGCAAAAGGGAAAAAACTGGTCCTGGCAAAGATGGAGGTGGTGGAATACCCATGGCAGGTGGAGATGGTACAGGCAGAATATCTACTCCTGGCAAAGGTGGAGGAGGTGGAACTCCAGTTACAGGAAGAGGTGGTGGAGATGGGATATCTGTAGGCATTCCAGCTGTAGGCAAAGGCGACCTAGAAGAGATGCTTGCAACAGATAAAGAAGGGGCAGGTGGTATCATGTCCATTCCTGGCATACATGAGGGGGAAGGAATCCTTTCGGCGGAGAATGATGGAACAGAAGATGGTGCTATGTCAGATGAAGACACCAAATATCCTGAGGCAGAGAGGGATGAGGGAGGTGACACTGATGAAGTTAAAAATGGACCTCCTGCTCCAGGCAGGGAAATTCCAGTGTCAGTGGACAGAGGACCAGAAGTGATATGAGATGATAAAGATGGGGAATATTCATTCCATGTTACAGTCTCCATACTGAGAGAAGGGTGGGGAGCTGATGGCAGAGATTCCTCTTGAAGCAAGCATGGTCTTGAAGTTTGTGGCATTGTTAGTTTTTCTTGAGAAGCATCCAGCTGTACTGAAATCCGTTTTGGTGACAGAACTAAAGCTATTTCAGAGCAAAAGGTGGGTTGTGGCTCAAGTGTTGGCAATGGCTGAGTTGGCCCTTGACCTGGATCCCCTTTGAGGTGGGGAGGTGCTTGTGGCAGTGTATTGTCTGAAGGCATTATGTGTGTTAAACAATCATCTGCTGGAGATGTCTGCACAGATGTTGCAGTTATAGTTTTAACTAGGGCACACAATTCATGTTCTTGAAGAGCTGTGTTAGGTAGTCCTTCATGAGTTGGCTGTTCAGTCCCATTCCACAGGCTTCTGCTTGAAACCAACACCTCTGTTGCTGGAAACTGTTTCTCTAGCTCTGCAATTTTTGTTTTTAAATCTTGTATGGTTTGCTCAAGCCGCTGAATTTCACTTGCCCGCATTTCTGATTTCATTGCAACACTTTCCTAGAAAACAGGAAAGAAAAGTCAACATGCAGAAAGGAAATAATACATCTGCTTGCATGTATACAGAGACTATCTGTGTAGGTAAAGATAATAAATATATATCCTGTGAATATGTTAATGCATTATTAAAACCTTAGTTCTGTTAAATGCTCAGTGTGGGCTATTTAATGCTTTACTTTAAAGACTAAGTCATATGTATCCTGTAATATATAAGATAGATACTTATGTTGGATTTAACTTTGTCTTTCTGCAGTTCTGGGGTATGTGCACATTTTACCCAGTTCTTCCAAATCTAGTTTTATTCTTTTCAACCCAATTAAATGTTGAAAAGAAATTACATAAAGGGGCTCAGGATGCTGTTCAGCAGGATAACACTCCAAAACCAAAATGGAATGGGACCAAATTTGGTGTGGGTAGGGAAACTGGCAAAAGCAAGAATAACTTCAAAAACAGGCAAGGTTTGGCAAGGGATGCAAAGAAAAAAAATCTAGCAGCTTAGAATGTTGCTGATTGCTCAACACCTCCTTCCTGATCATATGATCTTGAATCGAATTGATGTTAAAGGGTTGAAAGGAGTTCTAGAAGCCAAGCTCTGCATGGTTTTCCTGGTTTACTACCCAATGTACTTACTTTTTAAGTTTCCTTTTGCAAGAATAAGGGCTAATAGCCTATATTATTAAAAAGCAAATAGCTTTTTAATTAAGAAAGAGTATACTTAATTTGGGGGGGGGGGGCCTACCCCACACCAAATTAAGTCACAATATCACAGCAAGAGATTTAATGCAATTTGTCTTTGTTGTTTAATTGAAACTGATTTCAGTAAGTTTACTAGATAGCTGCAATGCATAAACATCAACTACCTATTTTAGGAAGAGTATGGGAAAAGACCTACATTACTCCTCCATAAAGGCATAGCTTATTTTGACTGATTAACATTGCTGCATTAGCTGCTTGGGATTAATCCCCTGGAGCAAATGACAGGCTACAAGAATGCTAAAATAAGCCTGTGTTTACCACTGGAGCCAGTTCGATTTGTGATGTTTGAAAAAGCCAAAAAAGAGCTATCCAAAACTCCAAGCAGTACAATGGAAAGAGACTAAAGGAGAACTTAGTTTGTTTCTCCAATTACAACATTTTTGCCAATTTTTCATTCATTAAATTTCCAATTAAAATCATGGGTGTTTTTCTGTTGTTGCAGTTGCCTTATTTGCTTATTTGAGGAAGAAACACAGACGTTGGTGATCACTTTGTTTTAAAGACATACAAAGCAAGAAAGAAACAAGGAGAAACATCAGCTAACACTAAAGTTGACTGATGTAAAGCTTCAGAAAAGTCACATCTATTCCATAACATCTACAAGCAGAGTTGTCAGTGGCACTTTAGAGAGCGCTGTTTACCATAGAATGCATTTCAGAGATACTAGTAAACTGCCCTGGGTATTTTCTACCAAAGCCCATGTGAAAGTAGCTGATAACAACTTGTTCATCTTTCTTTGATCCCATAATGTTTCTTGGTGTACTTTATATACAGCAAACTTCATGGTGATCTACCCATTAAGAGTAGTGCCAGATATGCCTGGGTCTTTTACTCAGAGCAGTGCGTGTTCCATACAAAGGAACTTGTACTTGGGTTTGAAGGAGCACCTGTAAAGGTTCAACACATACCATCATCACTACCCATTTTTGGATAGCAGAGAACTTCAGAAAAAAGAAACCACCGTCAGTTTTAAGCATATTATACAGTATCCGCTTGCTAAACCAAGCAACTATACTATTCTGCTTCTGCTTTTCCCAGTGCCTGTCTACCCCTTTCCTTTTGTTCAACTTTGCCCCCACTTCTTCATCCCAATTTGACAGAAGTTGGGCTTGACACCACAGCATGTCTTGCTGCTACAGACTAAGATGATTACTCTTCCGGAATTCATAACCACAAAATTATAAGCAAATCACAGACTTATGGGAATTCATTTCACAAACAAGGATGCTTTCAAAGACAAGAATGTTTATAGGCTGACAGTTTCAATTTAACGTAAAAAAAGAGATAAACAGTCAACATTAATGAAGGTTTTTTTTTTTACATTAAACACACAAAGAAAAAAATAATGTTTAGTGTGCCCCCTGCAATTACTTACATCATCATTTCTAAAACTGGGGGGGGGGGGGCGGG